CCATGTCGGGGACGAACCGGCGCACGTAGTTGACGAACCCCAGAAAACTCTGCAACTCTGTCAAGTTGGTCGGCGCGTGCCAAGCCTGAATCGTCGCAATTTTCTTCGGGTCTATTTCCACTCCTGCGGCTGAAATAACGTGTCCCAAAAACTCCAGACGGTCCTGTAAAAATTCACACTTAGACGCTTTTGTCAGTAGGCGGTTCTCACTCAGTATTTTAAAAACTGCTTTGATGTCCTGTAAGTGCTGTGCTCTGTCGGGGCTGTAAATCAGTATGTCGTCCAGGTATACTATGACGCACTTATCTAAGAGTGGGCGGAAAGCTTCGTTCATGGTCATTTGGAAAGTGGCGGGGGCGTTGGTCAGTCCGAATGGCATGACGGTGTATTCGAAGGATCCGTAGCGTGTTCGGAATGCGGTTTTAGGGCAGTCGGGCGGATTGACACGAATCTGATGGTAACCCCCCCGGAGGTCGATTTTCGAGAAAACCCGGGCTGTGCGTAGTTGGTCGATCAGTTCGTCGGCTCGTGGGATGGGGTAACGGGATTTGATGGTAACCCTGTTCAGTGCTCTGTAATCGATGCACATGCGAAATCCCCCGTCTTTTTTCGGTGTAAACAGTATCGGTGCTGCGAAAGGCGACGAACTAGGGCGAATGAACTCCTTCTCGAGCAGGTAATCGAGCTGCTTCCTCAGTTCGTCCAGTTCGGGCTGGGTCAGTCGGAACTGTCGCTGTACTGTTGGCTGTGCCCCCGGTTCCAATTCTATTCTGTGATCGTGCGGTCGCTGAGGTGGCAGTCCCGTCGGTAAGTCGTCCGGGAAAATGTCGCTGTACTGCTTCAACAGTGCTGCCAGGTCACTCGGTACGTCGGTCAGCAGTTTCTGCAAATCCCCTCCCTTGTCTGCTGCCTCGGCTTCCCGAATGTCGACCGCGTACACGTCAGCTCCCGCCGCTACGGCGCGTTTCATCGTGATCGCGTTGACACGCACCGACGAAGACTCAGGCGAGCCCCAGCGAGGTAGGGCGATGTGGTTACCGTTCACTCGCACGGTGCAGTCACCCGTCGTCCAGTCGATTCGCGGATTGTGTCGTCGCAACCAATCACGCCCGAGTAAAATATCGGTTCCGTCGAGGGTCGTTGCGAGCATTTCTTCGCTAAATGTGAAGTTACCCCCGCATCGAATCCGAACCCGGTCTACGCGTTCCCGTATCGCCAGCGGCGTGCCGTCTACCAGTCGTGCGTCGATCTCAGGTAAACATCTGTCCAGTGGCAGTCGCAGTTTTCGTGCTGTAGCAGTGTTGATGAGGCTGTGGCTGGCTCCCCCGTCTACGAAGATTTTAACTAAGTCCGTCCCGATTTTCCCACTAAGCAGTATAGGGCTGTCTACCGTAGTACCCTCCTTATTCGGCCGGGTGTGGTCGATTGCGTGAACCGGCACAATCACTCGGTGAGGGTCGGTTGGGTCGGGCGAGCGGCGTGACCTGTCAGTAGAGGGCCCGTCTGCTACTGACTCCCAGCGTTTCCCTGCTGCTTGGTCTGTTTCTGCTACTCAGCTTCCCCCTTTCCCTTAGCGTTTTCCGGGCATTCGCTCTTGCGGTGTCCCGGGCGATTACACGCGAAGCAGCGCCCTTTGAACGGTGCGGCAGCGGCATTCGCGGCGACGGCACGTATCGTAGCGCCCTCGTTCGTCCCGCGAGACCGATGTCCCCAGTTGCTGCTACTGCCGTAGGACCCCGGTCTCGGTCGGCGGAAGAAGTCGAGCTTCTCCGCCATAGCGAGAATCTCCTGAAAATCGGTGACGCCGCGAAGCTGAATTTCTTGAGCGATGTCGTGCTTCAGGCCGCCGATGTAGCGGTCGATGCGCTCGCTCTCATGCATGTAGCCCACTTGCTCGCATAGCGCCAGAAACCCGCTGGTGTAGTCCTGGACGGAACCGAGTTGGCGCCAAGTGCGGAGCTTCTGTCGCGCCGCGATCGAAGCCGCAATTGGCTCAAATCGAGCGCGCAGACCTGCGCACCACGCGTCCCACATGCGATATTGGGGCACCTCCACGAAATACGACGGCGCCCAGGGTCCGGTTTGTCCTTCCCGTGTCGGTAGAGTCGCGTAGTCATTCGGCTTCGTGACGATGACGCGCCACCAGTCCATGGCGGGTCCTCGCAGCAGCGACACGGCGTAGCGAATTTTCGCCGAATCCTCCGAGACGTAGTTGGCGTCGAAAAACACGTTCATCGTGAACAACCACGCCTGAACGGTAGGACCACCCCGTTGACTCGGGTCAAAGCATGGCGGACGCTGCGGCTTCAGCGGCATCGGTGACGGCAGTCCCGAATCGTGGGTCGGTGCCGAAATCGTGACGCGAGGTTGACTTGGGGCCGCATTCGTCGCTCCGGGGTGTGTCGTGCCGTGGTCGTCGTCTCCGTTGGGGCGGACGACGCCATCACTGGCCGCGCTCGCGGGTTGCCCCACACTTCCGTGCTGTGATGTCTGTGGTGCAGGCTGAATCGGAGTGCCAGGTGCTTGGGATTGTGCCCTTGTGAGGTCGTTTTGCAGGGACGAGCGTTCTGCCGTCAGCGTCGCAATTTCCTCGGCGCTCTCGCGGATTTGTCGCAGCAGATCGTTCAAATGCTCCTGCGTGAGAGTCGTGACGTCGATGTGTTCGGCCATTTCGAAGGACGTCGGCTCGTCTTAGTCTAGGCGCAGTCGTGGCTGCACGCGTTTACAAGAGAACGCGAGGACAGCGGCTCCTAGGTGCTAAGGTACGTAAGTCCCTTCGAGTGAAAAATCAAAAGTTGATTTCCTGGGGTGCGGAGATGCGCGGTCCGAAAAGAAAGGGGCTCTGATACCAAGTGTTACGGGTGCAATGAATCGAAGTAGCGAGAATTGCACTAAGGTGTCAAACGAGTACAAAGATGTGAGCGAAGGCATGAGCGAACATTTATATGCGAAGCATGCAAACGGTAACGCGGTGCGTGCGAGCTAGCTAGTGCTACGCTGGCAGCGAGGCTCGGGCTAGTCCCGAAGCGTAGGCCGACACGGCCGGGCCAGCAGTGCGAGGTTTGCTGAAACAGTGCGCGCGAAGTCGGCGAAGTTCCGTTAGCAGTAACGGGCGAACAACGGCTGTTGCTGTACGCGATGTAGTCGGGCTCCGTAAGGAATGCCGAGAAAATTCCTTACACATAGCCACGTAATTACCGACGAGTGCGTCAATCGTCGACTTAGCAAGAGTGTGAAATGTAGGTTTACATGGTCTGGTAGCGCAGTGCCAGTTTCCTGTCTCAATCAATTTGCCCGTCGCCTCGCTCTCTAGTCCGTCCCGTCGCCTTTCCGTCGCCCTCGCAAACACACGCGTAACGGCCCTCCCGTCGTCGTCACGGTCTCCCCTCCCGGTCTGTTATTCTCCCGTTCACCCCTCTTGTCCTCTCGCCCTCGCGATTTCCCTTCGATCTCGTCGCCTTCCCGTTCTCCCGCCCCTCGCCTTCGATGTCCCCTCTTCCTTCCCGTCGCCCTCACTATCTCCCTTCCCTCACGTTGCCTTCGATGTCCCCCTTTTCCCTCGCGATATCCCTTCCCCCTCCCGTCGCCTGTCCGCTCTCTCTCCCGTCGCCTGTCCGCTCCCCCCGCCCTCGCCTTCGTGCTCTCTCTCCCGTCGCCTTCGTGCTCTCCCTCCCGTCGGCTTCGCGCCCTCCCTCCTGTCTCTTTCGCGCTCTCCCTCCCGTTGCCTGTCCGCCCTCCCTCCCGTCTCCTTCGCGCTCTCCCTCCCGTTGCCTGAACCCCCGTCGTCACAAAAAAAATCGGCGGAAATCTTTCCTCATGAAATCCTAAAGCACTGCTTGATGATTGTCCCAGACACCAATGTTTGAGGTCTATCTTCGGGAATCCTCCACCGCGCAGGGATTGGTTGAGGTTTCATTTTGAGGTTTGTAAGTGCAAACCTCGTCAGGCTCGGCAAGGATTGCGCCAACATAGGGCCAACACTGCTCATACTCACTACAAGATTCGGGGAAATTCATTCAAGAGGTGTTCTGTAACGAAACAAAAAGGTTACCAGAGTACACCTGACTCATCGTAAATTAGAACGACTTGTTATACAAGCATTACATAAAATATTTACGGCTTCCGCTATACGCACTTCAGTGAGTGAAATTGTCAGTTTAGGTATAAAGCCACAAAATTAATACCTTCAGCTGTATTCCAGCTGATGTTCTGGAATGCCTTGCATGTGAACCACTAATGCATTTGAGCAGCGTTTAGTGCACTGTACAATGTACAAGATAAAACAATATATCCGCAATTGCAGCATGCATTACTACCACTTAATTAGATGACAAACGGGACCTGCAATATGCTGGCAACACACGCAACGAAGCTAGACAGCTCAGAACCACCGTTAGTCAGCACAGGCAACGAGCACCAAAAGAGAGCTTACCTAACTTGTTAGGCGTTGATGTGACCGAAACCACGGGATGTTGATAACTTCGACAAACATGGTAGAAAGGATAGGGGGGTCGTAGAATGTTCCTGCACCCGATGACGCACGTACCTAACCTGGAAATACACATGGCGCAGACAAGATGCATATTAGAGATTGCGTCGTTGGCCCAAAAAAAAATCTCACATGATTTCACGCAACTCGTGAAGCGAGTAGACGTATTTGTCTGTAGATTGTAGATTGCTTCTTCACCCTGCACAGGACTTACATATCCTGGAAATATAGAAGGCACAGACGAGATGCATGTTATAGAATGCGTCGTTGGCGTGAAAAATCTCACCTGATATCAACGCGATTTGCGCAGCGACTATACGTGTCTGACTATAACGCCAGTGACGCAGGCATGGAAGCTGTCGGAATAACTTCCTTAATACTGCCTCGCAAAGCAGGCCCTCGACGACCTGGCAGCGGGAGGACAGAAGACCACGAACATAAAAAACAAAAACAAAAATATCTATAGAAACGTCCGAACTTCCAGCGCAGGTTATGAGAAAACGAGGAGCAAATGTTTCGAGAAGCTGAAGTGGCACAGGTGACGAGAAAATGAGGAGCAAATGATCCGAGAAGAAGTGTGGCGATAAAATGTAGGACTAGGGATGCACTTTGAAGAAAGAGGAAGCTCCTTGTGCACCAACGATCGTTGCTGTGGTGTGGTGTCGCACGTGCAGGTTGGTGAGAATCTAACGTGTTGTTGTGCGAAGTCGAAAAGTTGACGTGTAGTGTGGGGTGTAACACGAAAATGGATCCGAAATTCGTGTGACGAAGGCTGGCGAAGGATGTATCACGAAACCCTGAGTTTTCAGGTCGTGCGTCACCAAGCCCCCAGTCTCATCCGTGCTGTCACATCCAGTTGTGACACTGCAGAGTACCATCCACTCCGTTTCTGACGCGTCAGCAAAGCCTTATATGTGGCACATTTTTTCATCCGTCACGATCGTTTTAAGTTTCGAAAAGGTACTGTACTACCGAAACAACATGCGAGGCCTGCTGTAACGAAGAACCAAATGAAACACGCACCCCTCCAGGAAACACAATGTGAAAGGGGTTCCATTGCGCAGCTACACAGTGCCAGTGCATCTGCATTCCTTGGCTCGAAATGATTGCTTTGTGTGTGCTAACAACTTTCTAGGCCATGCCCGGATGCGCATGCTTGCTGGATACGCCAATTGTTGACAGCTTTTGGGCGTCCCATTTTTTGTGACGGTCCCTCCCTTCACCTTCGCGCTCTCTCTCCCGTCGCCTGTCCGCTCCTCCTCCCCTCGCCTTCGTGCTCTCTCTCCCGTCGCCTTCGTGCTCTCCCTCCCGTCGGCTTCGCGCCCTCCCTCCCGTCTCCTTCGCGCTCTCCCTCCCGTTGCCTGTCCGCCCTCCCTCCCGTCTCCTTCGCGCTCTCCCTCCCGTTGCCTGTCCGCCCTCCCTCCCTTCGCCTTCGCGCTCTCTCTCCCGTCGCCTGTCCGCTCCACCTCCCCTCGCCTTCGCGCTCTCCCTCCCGTCGGCGCCCTCCCTCCCGTCTGCTTCGCGCTCTCCCTCCCGTTGCCTGTCCGCCCTCCCTACCTTCGCCTTCGCGCTCTCTCTCCCGTCGCCTGTCCGCTCTCCCTCCCATCGCCTTATCGCTCTCCCTCCCGTCGCCTTTCTCCTTCCCCACTTCATCTCCTATCGCTCACGTCCTCCCCTCCCATCGGCATCGCGCTCACGTTCCGCCCTCCCGTCACCATCGCACTCACGTGCACCTGTCTTCGCATCGCCTTCGCGCTCATGGCCTCCCCTCCGATCACGTCTCACGATATAATTTAAGCTAGCAAGCACGTCTCGCGCCGTCGCTATCTCCCATCACGTTCCGCGCCGTCGCTATCTCCCCCCTTCACTCCGTCGCGCTCGCTGTTTCTCCCCCCTCTCCCCGTCGCGCTCGCTATCTCCCACGCGATCTCATAGCGATCCCCTATTTGCAGTCGCCTACGCGATCTACTCCATTTTCCGTCGCCCGCGATCTCCCCCATTGTACGGTAAATCACCCTCGCTATACCCCCTCCCTTACCGTTCTAATTCCCGTCGGCCCCTCTCCTCTCGAGTCACCTTGTCGTTCTTCTGTTTGCTACTTGCATCACTCTGTGTTGTTAGTTAGCTCAACATTGTGTGTATGCTGCGTGTGTGGTGGCAGGTTCCGTTGTGAAATTTGTGATGTGTTGTGCTCGATGCGGATTTGGATGGGTGGGAGAAGTGGAAATGTCATAGCAAGCTTGCGACAATTCTGTGCAAGTTGCGACTGATCGTATCAGAATTCGGAAACAACTTCAAATCGGTCTTGTTACTACTTGGGGACTTGCCCTGTTCAGACAAAAAACACCAAACTTTCTGGAAATTTTCATGAGCTTTCTAGTGGACCCAACTAGAAGGGGGGGGGTCACTATTTTGCATGCGGGCTTTAATAAAGAGTTGTGAACCACCTTGCGCTAGTATGTGAGGGCAAAGTAGACTGATTAAAGTAAGGAGATACAAGACTATATAAGAGTACAAGGAATACGAAGAGATACAGTTATAACTACTTTTCTGTTGCTGTTGCGGTTCGATACAGTGACGACTCGGGCAACTGCTCTGTAGCGAGTCAGTTGTGTGTCCTTGCTGTCGCGCTGTACTTGTCAGGTCAAAGGTCACTGACCATTGACTTTCGCGTAACCTCTAGCAACCGCTCAACCTCCGAGGGTTGACTCGCCGGTGCTTCGATATGCTTCGCTTCGCTTGTGCCTTGGTGTTTCGACACGACAGAGGCGCTTAGAATTAGTTGTTTCCAACACTCCCCTTCGCTTCTGGAGTGTCGCTGCTGATGACGTGGCTCTGTCCAGTCAGCGGCATGCAGTACTCGAACTTCTGTTTTCCGAGCTTCTTGGTCAAGTAATCAGCTGCCATCTCGGACGAGTTGCGTATCGACCCGTCATTGTCAACAACTCTGTACGCGGTTCGAAATGTCAATGCACCTGGACATTCCACAGTAAAAATCTCGCGCGGGAAAAAGTTCCGCTCGTCAAAACCCCACCCGAACCAGACAGTTGAAGAAGCAGGTGTTCAGTCAAGTTTGAAATCCAATCAAATGAGCACAGCTGTAAATTTCGCCTGGTCGCACAGTTTCGTGATACACTCATTTTTTGTGACGCGAGATTGCAAAAATGTGTAGACGCGACTCGGAAAAGAGGGGATTGAGACACAAGTGTCTCCACAGGAACGTACGAATTAGTTGTTTCCAACATGACACTGTCACAGCGAGCATGTTTTTGGCCCAGTGTTGTAGTGGGAGCACTACTGCCTGATCTTCCACCTCATCCATATGCTGAGCTTGATTGCACATGCCAGGCAGGGTGTATATACACAGCCTTGTTAATGTACACAATAAGTGACATATCCTCCCTAGCATGGTAAACAAATAAAGAGAGTGCTATGCACTAAGCAGTCACTGAAGACGTGTGCATGGCAACATTCAGATTCACTACAATAGTACAACACAAAACCCAAATCCGCACAACCATGGCAATCCACAGAAGGAAACGCATGTAAAGGTGATTTCACCTTACTCCATGCTGGCCACTAGGCCTCCATAAAGGAGAGAGTGGATACACCGGTCCGCACGCCATAAACACACCTCCGTTGCTTCCATCCAGACTCTCCAAGTCTGAATCCAATTCGCCTTGTTCGGCTTCACGAAATTGAGCCTCAAACGCCGCGTCATTGAACAGCTCACTGTCACTCCTGCTAGCCTTGGTCTTTGGCTTCCTTCTAGATTGACTGGATCTGGCCTGCGTAGGCAGGGCCTCTTTATGCTGCTGACTTGCCATATGAGAGCTTCCACCCACTGCTGTGTCCACGTCGTTTTCAGCAATTGAGCTGCCGCCGCCGCTGCTGCTGCTGCTGCCGCAGAGAAAGCTGATGCTTCGGCTGCGGTGGTGAAGCGGGGCCTTGCGGGTACCATGCCTGCGTGCGGCAGGCTCATGTGCCTGCCCCCCACATGCTGTAGAGCCGTCTCCCCTGGTGCGAGGAGGCGTGAGACAGGCCGGCCATAGCTTGCTGCTGCTTCTACCAATGACGCCGCCGCTGCCGCTGGTGCCGCCACTTCCCCCGCCACCACCAATGCTGCAGACTGAAGTCAGATCCAGAACTGAGGTCGGGTTGCTGTAGGAGCTGCCACTCTCGCTGCTGTCTGCTGATTTGGAGTGGTGCCTGTTAATCCGCGAGCTTGAGGAGGAGGAGAAGGACGAGAATGAGGCGGATTTGAGGGAAAACGGCGAGCTGGTGGGTAGCGGGGAGGTGGAGGTGGAGGAGGCGAAGGAGGAGAAGCCAGAAGACGCGCCAGCAGAGGAGCAGGACGGCGGGCGGGAGAGTGTGATAGAGGAGGAGGAGGAGGAGTGGGATGAGTAGGCGGAGGAGGAGAGGGAGGAGGAGGATGAGCCGCCGTTCCACAGGGAGTGTGAGTGTGAGTGCGAGTGTGACGACGCGGGCGTGGCACAAGAGAAAGACGGAGAGGATGTGGGCGGCGAGGAGGACGAAGGAGAAGAGGACGACCCGGGATACACATGATTACTCCCGCGCCTGCTGCTACTGCTGCTGCCGCCACTAGTAATGCTACTACTATAGTGACTACCACCTGTAGTGTTGCTCCGCCTGCTGCTAGGGACCGGGGAAGGGCCGCTCGTCAGCGTGTCGCGATCGCCATAGCGGTTGCGGCTGCGGTGGCTGTTGCGCGGCTCCGTTCGCGACCGTCCGGAGAGGCGCGGGGACGAGGGGCTCGCGGGCGTCGCCGCGGGCGGGGGCGTCGCGGGCGCAAGATGCAGGCGCGGGGCCGGGCGGACGGAAGCAGCGCGCGGGCTCTCAGAGGGCGATAGCGGCAGGGGAGAAGGGTTAAGCGCGAGGCTGCCGCTCCTTGCGGGATAGCCCGCGAAAGGAAGCGGGCCTGAGAGGCTTGATGCCGTTTCGCGTCCGCTGGTACTGCACTCCGCGTTGGAAGGCTGTGACACCGCAGTTGCTGCTGCCAGTAGGAACGACTCCGAGTCGCGTTCGTCATTGCCGGTACGAATCGCACTAGCTGTACGGTCGGAACACGCCGCAGCAGCTGCCGCCGTGCCAGCCGCAGCGGGAGCAATCCCGGCGCCGAATTCCCGCCGCAACCGCCGCTCGAACCGATCGAGCTGCAATTCGATGCCGCGAATCATGCGATCCGCGTCATCCGCCGCGCCGCAAAACGCGGCGCCGTCGCCGCCGGATCCAGCTAGAGTTGTAGAAACGTCCCCGGCGATCCAGCCCCTGCTACCAGCAGCAGCAATACTACTAGTAGCAATACTATTAGTAGACATGCCCCTCGCAATGCCACTGCGGGTTCTCGCTGCCGGGTGAGGCGGATGGAGAAAATAAGTAGCGCTCGGAGCGGAGAGAAGTACGGATGTCGGATCGAGACTGAGCGACGCGCGGCTCCCCGACGCGACGCCGACGTGCAGGCCCGGGTACTCGCGCATGACGTCAGCGACGCGAAGCAGCGGATCGCGCGCGCCGCGGCAGAAGAAGCGCACCGATCCGTCGGGAAGGAGAAAGAGGATCGGTTCGGGATCTGGAAAGAGATCAAGCCGATCCACCAGGGATGCCGTGGGCGGTAGCGGCGCCACGACAGAATCATCTTTTGTGCTGAGCTGTCCAACATCATCGATGTGAAAGTCGGGAATAGCAAAGCCGCCGGTTCCGCGGACTCGGAGCACGCTCGTCGGACCGCTGCAATCACTACTCGTCTCAGCACCTCCCAGCTGTAGCGATGGAGGAAATTCGCTCAAGGATCGCACGAACTCTCGCCCTCGCGACGCGATTTTCCCGGTCGCGGACGCGGCATTCGCGGTGTTCTCGGACGTCGGGGCGATGGTGGCGCGGGAAGTGAAATAGTCGTCCCGGGGGAAGCGGTTGTGCTCAGAGGCGCGCCGCTCGAAAATTCTAGAGGCTAAGGTCGTGCGCAATTCGGGCTCGAGAATGGGGATGCTGTCGCAACTAAGGCTGTAGGTATTGGGTAAGTCACAGGTTAGACTGCACTGGTCCGCTGCGACGCTCTGCGACGCGCGGTGGCGTGCGGCGAGCAGATCCGTGTCGCTCCACACGGAATGACGTCCGTGTGCCATCGAGGACAGTCCGGCGACAAGATCATGCGATGACGTTTCGTTGTCTCCGTCAAACGCGGAAACTGGTCGTGGCAGCGACATGGTTGTGGTCTCGTGTAGTTCGCTTGCTGGAAGGACTTGCGGAGGTAAGGATCGCGTTGAGCACATAATGGAATCTAAATCTGCCGCAACTGAGCTGAACTTACGGTCTCAAACAGAATCGGCTAACTTCATCGACACAAAGAAGGCTTCCTACAAGGGCCATGCCATGATGACTTGTGGCTTCGGTATGAATTGTGTTGTCATCCGACCATAATGTACCATTGAAAACTGGAGGGAAAGGGGCAGTGTGCTGTGCTCACAAATGCAGAAGCGAATGGAGAAGCATGCGGCGAAATTCGTCGTGGATCGCGTCGCGTCCCCTCGCCCCACCCCACCCCACCCCACTCCTTCCCGCATCAACAATGTGATGCATTTCGGCCCCGTCGACCAGGCCGGATTACAAACGACCATGAACAAAAACCGGTTTCATTTACTGTAGTCTGTTGTTCCTTTCTTATCGGACATGGTGGCGAAAACTGGCAACACAACCTGACTGATGAGTTGCATGGCAAGGAACACCTTCCCGACTTTGGGCGGCATCGGACCAAAGCAACCTCAGACCAAAGCGACCTCATAAAGTTTCGCACGGAAAACAAATACAGAGTAAATTGATATAAGTTGGAGTTCTGAATGGTTATGAATATCCCTAACCAGAGATATTCTTCACTACGTAATGCGGTACGGAATACTCATTCTGTCCGTGTACATTCATGTGTACCAGAATGGTGGCGGCCTGAAAGCAAATCTCCATGAGACCTGTCACCGCTGTGAGTTCGCACCGCACGGTTTGTGGCCAACGAAGGAGGCGTGATGGCAATCACGTGACATGACGTGATGTCGTGACCCTCGAGCTTCCAGAAGAGGCCGCATGTTCCCTGACGCACTGTGCACTCCAGCATTTACAGTAATAAACCCCACTGTATCTCTAGCAATGTTTACCTTTTGAGGGGTCATTTCCTAGGAGGTGTGGCAGTGGGGTTTTTCACAGACTACTGAGTTTCGGGGTGCGGACTTTTACAGCTTGTTTCCGTTTTGAGTTTTTCGTCAGCACCTAGCGAATCTAGCTCTCAGCACTTATATCGCAGTGCCACACAGTCACTCCTGACACTACCTCATAGTCACCCTATGTTGCAGGGTGCTAAAGAGTCCTGAGGTTTTCGGCCTAATATTCCAAATACACTATGTTCGAATTCTCTACCATCTCTTCTAGTTACTATGGGTTTGTCCGCCACTCTTTACTGGCCGTGTGTGTGATTTTGGTTAGAAATCTTGCCACGACAGAGTGCATATGAAGGCGATCGAAAAGTTCACCCAGCTTCTTCAACACTTTGAACTTCCGACCACAGACCCTTGATATCTCACTCCGGACACTATGGAACACGGGGCCCCCAAACTTGGTGTGTACCCACCTCAAACGTCGCAGTTCGACGTTCGGTTTAGATACCCTACAAAACCCGTGGCTCTTCCGGGCAGACACATTCCATAGCAGTAGTCGACCATACACGAGTATCCTCAGATCTGTACGCGAGACAAACAAAAGTTTGTTGCATTTGTTCCTAGACAGCTTCCATTGGCCTCAATCCCAGCTGGCCTTGGAGGATCAGGGACAAATCAGGTCCCCTCAATGAATGATTCTGTGGCTCTGAGTGTGTGGCAAAATGAACAGCGCGGCCAATTTCCGAGGGCCTATGATGAGACAGCGACTTACTCCTGATGCGTGCCTTGAGAGCCCAGTGAAATTTACGAGTGCAATAAATAGGCAGCTGTGGAAGAGAATCCAGCTTTCATGTTGTGGTGTGTGCACGTGTGACTCAATTACTTCGCCTGAAGAAGGCTCACTAGCATCTTTATTCCCGCTTTTCTGTACACATTGTTCTCTTCAATGAAACCAGTATATGCGGTTGCAGAATGAAACTTCACTCATGCCAAATTTGCATGTACCAACCAATGCTAGTTGAGCCGTCTCTGTTCATTTAGTAGTATTGCATTGCTCATTTTCCCAACAGGGTATGTTTAGAGTCCTGGATCAACGTTTGTACTAATTCTAACTTTTATTGTAATCTAAGGCACAAACATTGTGATACCTCTAAACCATGCACAACGCATCTTGATTGATCCACCATGCAACACATCCCTCTACGTAGTACAAGGAGATTGCACCACACCTGTACGGTATATCAAAAGCTCTCACGCAGCCTGCAAACAGGGAAGAAGGTGTGAGCCAAAGTTGTAACGGGATGGTCTGGGCGCAGTCCGCGGCGGGTGCGGTATTTTTCCAAGAGTTGTTGAAGGGACATGCGGCAATTGAGACCCCATTCCCGTAATACACGCCGTCTGTCGCGTCAATTGAAATGCAGAGGTCCCGCAGAGCCACGCATCTTGCAGAATCCGAGCAACAGACGGCCGAGTCTGAGGGTCGCCCGACAACATCCTCCGAATGAGACTCTTCGCTCGCCCTGACACAAGTCCCCAGCACGGCAATTCCCAGTCGCGAGACGACTGCCGACTACGGGAAATAGTGGGCCATCGTCCGGAAAGGATTACATAGAGTGTGACACCCATGCTCCAAACGTCCGCGGGGAATCCGTACGGTTTTCGGCCAGTAACCTCGGGGGCCATGTACGGCATGCTGCCGACGTATCCCGTGGCGGTTTGCCCTGGCTTGAGCACGGTGGAGCCTCCAAAATCAGCGAGCTTCGCGACAAACGCGCAACGCGGAGCCTCGTTCAACCCCGAGGCTCTTTCTGTCTCGGCGACTGACACCGTTGTTCGACAAACCGTCGAACTGAAACTGCGCGTTTCCACTGGAAGGAAGTGCTCGCCCGCTCGCATCGGCGCGCCGCAGTTCGCGGCAGGGGTTCCGGCGCCGCGCTCATCGGTCGTCAACGGAGGCGTGAACGAAGAACAAGAGGATTGCGACGCGGACGACGGGGAAGACGATGACGGGGATGAGGGTGACGATGGTGCCGTTGACGACAGCGACGAGGACTCTGAGGCGTTGACAGGGCGGAGACGGCTAACGTTAGTAACGATACCAGCAGTTCTGATGGACCTTGCTGCCGTGCATCCCAGTGTAGTGCCTATGTTTGGGTGTAGGTTGTTTGAGCTGTTCTGGACAATTCCACTCGAGTTCTCGAATGACCATGACGGCTCCGACTCCGATTCGGAGTCATGGCGCGAGCCCCTGGGGCTGCGCGGGAAGAGCAGCACGTTATCGGGTTTAACATCTCGGTGCAGGATACCTCGCTCGTGGCACTCTTGAACTCCCGCCGCAATGTCTCTGAAAACTTCCCGCGCGTCGCACTCGGAAAGCGGTCCGTTTTTCAGAATCCACGACACGAGATCCCCGCCAGTGGCTAAATCCGACTGCAGGTAAAGAGCTCCCTCGGAGTCACGGAAAACGTCACGAAGAGGCGTCACGTGGCTGCAGTCATGAAGCAGAGTCAGGGCATTGATCTCGTTAGCGGCGCATCGGAGGTCTTCTTTAAGAGGTGCTACGCGTTTGCAGGCGAACTCAATGTCCGTCGCGCGGTGCGTGCATCGCCTGACGGTGCCGAACCTGCCGGATCCGAGTTTTTCGTGTATGTCGTACTTAGAGAAGAGATTTCTCGCGGGATGCACGGGGAACATGATAGCGATCCGACGTGCAACCTCTCCTGTACGGTTGATTCAAGCGTTAGCGGGTTGAGGTGACGGCAAGTACACTTTTCGCAATAGTGCGCGATTAATATGAGCGTCTCCTCCTTCGCAATAACAATGACCGTCGCCGTGGTCTACAGCTGTTCGCACACCTACTTTAAATGAATAGTAGTAGCAGGAACTACAGATGGATGGATGACTCGTTCGAGTTGAACAAGCAACGCTCAGGTTCGATGATTGAATGTTGGGAGGAGCAACTAGCAGCGCCCTTTCAAACACAACTAAGGTCGCTGGCAACAAGTAAGGAGACACTTCGTGGCGCTGCGCTGTGGTGCGCACGCATGTTTCTGCCAGCACGTAAATTTGAGAGCTTCGTGGCGGGTGAAGTGAAGGTTTCGCACGCACGACAGACCTTTCTGGCAAGGTTCGGGCTTGTGGCTTCTGTTTGGGCGGAAGAGGAATTCGCCGATGTCTGAGGAGTAAAACAGATGTCGTTTGACTTCGCGAAACCTCGCAGCCAGGGCGTCGGAACCACCAAGCTCACCCAATCCGAAGCAACACTATGCGTAGTTGACCTCACGGGACCGAACGGGAGGTGCTTGATTGTAGAGAGTCGGGAAGGCATGAATTGAAAAGGCTGACAATTTTCGCGTTTCATTTGCATTATTTACATGTGCAAGCCAAACCAAAACAGCGGGTATTGCACTAGCGGGGATTTAGGAGGTGATAAAATGGAGGTGATGTCTGGTCCTTAATTTTCCAGGGGCAGGGCCCGCAGAATCTTTGTTTATAAGTAATCTTCTGCTTATCAAGGGGGCTGTTCGCCAGCACCATTATAGCAAAAACAACGGGATAACGACGGGATCAGGAATGTTCCTCTCGCCTTCCTGATCCCGTCAGTTAGAGTTCGTTTACCTTCGTCAGCCGGGCCAGCCCGTGAAAAAAGTGCCGAGCCTCACCTACAGTCCAAACCAACAAACAAACTGGGCGTCTGGCGAACGCCCACCTTTGTCCACCAATTCTAACGTTTCGACGGCATATGGAAGCGGGGACGAAACTTCGTCCCTAGCCATGCCATCGTCATGCCGCGTTTTTCAAAGCACAGCGGTGGCACAGCCGACGCATTGCTGTTCAGAGGGGAACCCTTGAACAAGCCTGCATTTTGACAAAGGGGGGTTCGTATACCCCCCATTTTTCCATCCCAAACACACCTTCGAAATGCCCCCCGCACATAACTTGGTCGTGAGCACGAGGTGGCGGGGGTTGTGTTTGAGCGGGAG